TAGGGGAGAAAAAAGGTAACATTTTTCCTTACCCAACATTAAATTCATGGCTAAAACTCCCATAACAAAATACAGATTAAAAACAGGAAAGCATGGGGGATCAGCAGTGAGCGTAATGGCTATGTCGCTGGACTCCCACGTAGTCGACTGCGGTTCGCGTCCCAGACCCGATGGCTTAAAACTAACGCTGGGCACATGTGCGCGCGTGCCCAAGATCCCGAGAAGAGAATGGAGGAGAAGGGATTGTGGCGTGGCCATCCACCCTGGGGGGTGATTTCTCGCTTTCTGTCTCTCTGTCTGGAGAGCGCACTCGTCCTATAGCAAAAACCTCTCAAAAAACAAACAAACCAACCAAAAAAGAAAACAGGAAAGCGTAACAAATGTGTGTAACATAATTTTTATGTGACACAAAAGCCTCCAGAAATGAAGACCCAAAGAAACAAGTGAAGATTGTATATTTTTATGGACAATCCCTCAGAAGTATGATTGGAAGACAAGAGTCTGATGTAATAGAAATAGACTAGAGGGGACTTCGCAGGGTCTGTTTATTAAGATTCTTCTCGGCCTTCTGGTAGAGGGCAGAACTGCCTTGGAATGGAATGAGCATCTTATAATCTTCTTCAGGGGAGCGGGTGTTGTGGAATTCTTTCTTTCCTTTTTTATTTTACTTTTAATGAGGTGGGAACTGGGGGGAGGTGAGTGAAGGAAGAAAGAGAAGCTCTTTTTTTTTTTTTTTTTTTTAAGAAGTTTTTGTCTTAGGGCATGTGTACTCGCTAGAGAGAGACAGAGGCAGAAACAGTAAGAGGGAAAGTGAGAAATCACCCTAACGTGGGATGGCCATGCTGCAATCCCTTCTCCCTTCATTCTCCTCCTGAGATCCTGGGCATGCACATACACTGGGAATAATTTTCAAACCACCAGTTCTGGGACATGGTTCGCCATGTTCAGTCCAGCGATATAACTGCTATACCATCTGCTGGTTCTGAGAGAAGTATTTTTGACAGGGTCCTAAATTACAGTTTTCTGCCGTAGCCTCCCAGTTAGTTAGGATTACCAGCATACACGGTTTCCCCTAGCCTGTTAGGGTTGGGCTAGGATCTGTGCCTTGGCCTCCCATGTGACCCAGACCTTACTTACACAGGAGCACCTAGCACTGGCTCACTGCATCCGGGCCCAAGAATTCTTTTGTGACTTGCTACGGGAAGAAAGGTAGAAGGTGGCAGGAGAGCAACCTTCCTGCTTCTGTAGCTGTCTCAGTTTTCTCCACCTTAAATTACTCAATAGGCCAAGTGTCATATTCTGGGGTACCATGTTTTGAGTCTAATCATAAATAATAAACAGGAGCACCTACCACTGGCTCACTGCATCCGGGCCCAAGAATTCTTTTGTGACTTGCTACGGGAAGAAAGGTAGAAGGTGGCAGGAGAGCAACCTTCCTGCTTCTGTAGCTGTCTCAGTTTTCTCCACCTTAAATTACTCAATAGGCCAAGTGTCATATTCTGGGGTACCATGTTTTGAGTCTAATCATAAATAATAACAAAATCGAGATCCTTATAAAGCTTACATTCTCAAAGGACTAAAGAGATGACAGAGGTACAGGAACAGACACACAGAGAGACAAATAAAAGACACTGAAGAATGCCTTGACAGAAATCAAACAAGGAAACAGGACAGGGAGAGAGGGGGTTAGGAAGGCTGATGTGAGGCCTCCAAGACTAAGAAGGAAAGAAAAAGATGTTCCGCTGGCCTGCAGGATATCCAAATCATGGCCGTAATCACCTGCTGGAAGGCAGGGTTCTGCTACTTTTCAGCCACAAAAGGAGACTTAATAATCAATCATGAAGTAAGAGGTCACTTTTTCACTTAGATATTTCCCTTTTCCTGTTACAAGTGCCTTACTGAGTAAGCCAGGCCACCCTTGGTCTTTGCGAAACTGAATTTAAAGCTCCTGAAACAGACAACCCTAACAGGGCATGATGTTCAAGAGGCTAACTCAGTGGTGCCCCTTCATTAACAATAACAACAGTTGCTTCAGGGGAAAAAGACTGCTACTGGGTTTATTGCTATTACTACTCAGCATGAGACAAAAATGGTTGGGAACCCAGACATCAGGCGGAATACCAAGAGTCAGACACAGAGGCGAAGATGAAGAGAACAGTCACTGCGACTTCCGTGGCAGGTTGTCAAACGCTGCCTCGAAATGTGCAACTGTGTGAATTTCAAAATAGGAAGTGCTCACAGTCTTGAATGGCAGTTTTCAGAACCGCACAGCTGAATGTTAAAGAAGCTGCTCTGCCCCCCGGAGGGGCCGGCCACAGCAAGTCTGGCTTCCATGGGCCACGGCTGAGACTGTCACCACTCAACTGTTATCACCATCAAATAGGCTGAGAAAGATATACACACCACAAAGACTCACGAGGTGTGCTTGTTAGGCACATGCCCAAGCCTCAGCCAAAACGTTCTAAATTGGGAGATGTAGAATAAAAATGGAGAATCAATTCTTGTGGCTGCTGTTGTTTGGACATTAAAGTGAATTCCATGCCGATAGTACAAGGATCACACTTGGAAAAACAGATTGGACGACTGTAGATATTCAGGCTTGAACTAAAAGGACAGCTTTAAAAACTTCATTACCCACCGATGTTTCCTGTGTGCATGTGTATAGGATTTTTTTTTTTAAGTCATTATATTCCACATAGGACTTGAGACAGCTCCGCTAATTCATATTGGAGAAATTTCTGTGAGCAGGTTGGAAACAAGTGAAAGATATCTGAAGTAATATATTCTGACTTAAAAGAGCACAATTATTTTTTTTTAAATCAACTTAAGCTAAATAGTAATGGTGGTGATAATAGTAACCACGTTCAACAATTCAGAGATCGGCACTCTCTGGGAAAAATTAACCCATTATCATCATCATCACAGACTAAAAAATAATTTTTTTTTTTAATTTGGCCAGATCACTGGGGCATGAAAAAGTAGTTACTGTTGGCGTTACCGAGTTTATAACCATGATTCTCGGTCCTGCTAACCTCAACACTTTTTTTTTTTCAAATTGTGTTTCATTATTATTTTTTTAAATTAAGAGATAATTTAAGTACCATAAAATTCACCCTCTCAAAGTGAACAGTAGGTTGTAGTGTATTCACAAAGTTGCATAATCCTCACCATTATCTAGACCCACAGTGTTTTCATCACGGTGAGAAGAAGCCCATACGTATTAGCAGTCACTCCCAACTCCCTTCTTCCTGCATTCCCTGGCAACCATTAATTCCTTTTCTGTTTCTAGTCAAGGCCATTTGTACAGCAAATATGTTTAATGTCCCATTTAGAATTGTGAAATGACATTTTGAGATCATATAACCTATTCGTTCATATAAACTTTACGTATGTTTCATATGCGTGAGTCAGCGTGCTGTGCATCCCACCTAAATGCATCCGCTCGCGTTACTACCCGTGCCTCTGCAGTGTCGCTTCTAGAGACTGAATGAATTCTGTCAACTAGACGTTATATAATAACCAACTAGGTTTGCGCGTTTTTGTTTGTTTGTTTTTGTTTTTGATTTTAGTTTTTTTCCATAGGGAATGTACTCACTTGAGAGATAGAGAGAGGGATAAATGAAAAATCACTCCCCTTGAGGAGTGGTCATGCTGCAATCCTTTCTCCTCCATTCTCCTCTTGGAACTTTGGACACACACACACACACACACATGCCCAGTATGATCTGCAAGCTGCTAGGTCTGGGTTTGAAACTGTGGTTGGCCATGTGGCAATCCACTGCCTTAACTACCATGCTACCCACTGGCCCCTTGAGAATTAATTTCTGAAAGAAACCATTGATATGCTATCCTTTTTTAGCATCTGCATGTTTGCAAGCCTGGTGAAGGTACAGATAGTGGCATGGAGGGTGGGTGGACTTCCCCTCTGTCCCTACTACCTCACCCTGTATCTAGAGCTATCAGGTGGCTGGCTTCTTTACCATAGCAATTTGGTGGTAGCCCCTACAGGGTATGCATACCTTAGAAATGCTTCCAGAGATTCTAGTGTAAAAGTCCCACAGTAGCTGTGTTAAATGTTACAGCCATATGCAAACTAAGCTCAGAAGGGAACCATAAGTATTTGGCATTGTTTGGTGCCAAGGTTACCTTATCGACACACAACCAGTCTTCGAACCATAAAACTTTCTTTGCAAAGTGCAACATTAGCAGCCCAGTCTGACTTGCTTCTGATTTCCAGCACAGAAAATATACCTTTTCTAAGACTTAGGCATACATTCCAACTGCATAAGAATTTGCATTTGTATGAAAGGGGCTGAAATCCAGCTTCAGAATCAGCTAGGATTTTATTCCTTTTTTTTTCTTTTTTACTACAAGAAGCAGAGACTGCCCTAATAAATCCTCCTTTCCTCCTTTAACACACTTAAAAACCCATTTTTGAGCTCTACTGACTCCATTAGGTTTGAACTTTAGTATTATGTACATAGGGAGGAAAAGAGTAGGTGTGGGGGTGGAGAGAAGGAGAACAATGAGAAACACCAGGCCAGGAGGGAAGGGAGACAAGTGGGGCTATGACAGTGGTTAATCCTTCACTTATACCTGAGGAGGCCAAAGGAGACCACGTAAGGTGTGCTAATGACACCCCCAGCTTGACATATGACCCACAAAACTCCACACCAAGCTTCTATATTTTTTCCTAGATATTACCTCCCATGCACGGCTTTGACTTTGGTCTCTGCTGTAGGACTCTTCGATCTAGTTTTTGTTTCACATTTGCACAATAATAATTTTACTATGAAAGGTAAATGTCTTGTAAACTAATGGGAAACATATTGTTTGGCACAGTTTATAATGTCAGGATTTATGACACTAACACCGTGGGTCTCTCTGACCTCGAAGATAACATAATGAAACAGCAATGTGCTGCAAATGACTCATTGTGATTTTTTATTAGTTCTCATAATTGCCCCTTATTAATGTCTATGCACATAATAAGCACTCACCTTCACAGTCTGTCCAGCTTCGGGGCCATCCTAGAAGTAGGGGGAAAAAAAATCAGAGGTGAGAACAGCTAGATGGTATCTCCTCCTTATTCAGAAAGATTGCCCATTAATAATTTAGATCCAATTTCATTGTGTGTTAATTTATAGTATTCTCATGGGGACCATTCGCTTAGAATGTGTGGGACCAGACAGTTCTCCATTTCCGCCTGAGAGTAAGTGAGAAGTTATGTATAAAAATGATATAAATTATCCAGCGAGCCAACCCCTTCGCTACTTTTCATGCACTTTGCTCTTGGCTATGGTTTTAATTGCATTAAAAGAAGGCTGAAAATGTTTGGGGAGGTGAAGTATCACACCTTTTGGTTATCTTTAAAGCAGACATGGTTTAATTAATGTTGGATAACTTTAGTTTCTACTCATGAAATTTACTACAACCACAATCCATTAAGCAAGAGCATTGGGTGTCTAAAAAGGGAAGAGTCCTCTCTGGCTATCGTGACCTTCAGGAAGAAAAGTAGGAGTGTTCATTGTGCCAAGAGCTGGCCCCTTTCCCCATTCTGGTTCCCTCTCTCCGCTCCAGGTACCCAACAGAACTATTGGTGCCACTGAAGAGAACAAATTCTCCTAGTTACAAGCCATAATACAAAGCAAAGGAAAGTTTGAGATCAAACAAGCAATGTCTCTATAATCAGAAATTCCAAAATGGAATTAGAACCCCCCAGCTTGGACCAAGTCTGTCTGCCTCTATGAGCTGGACTAATGGGTTGAAAATTCTTGCCCTGCTCTGATAAGAATTAAACAGAATTGATGGGACCAGCAGTTAGCATAATGGCTATGTTGCTGGACTCCCATGTAGTCGACTGTGGTTCGCATCCTGGACCTAGTGGCTTTAAACTCACGGCGGGTGCATGTGCGTGTGTGCCCAAGATCCCGAGAGGAGAATGAAGGAGAAGGGATTACGGCATGGCCATGCCCCCTGGGAGGTGATTTCTCGCTTTCTGTCTCTCTGTCTCTCTCTGTCTGGCAAGCGCACACGCCCTATAGCAAAAACCTCTCCAAAAAAAAAAAAAGGAATTTAACAGAATTGCATACATCAGTGAGTTTCAAACTTAAAAGTCACAAACCAATGGAATGAACTTTCTAGTGAATCATGTTAGATAACCATCACTCGCGGTTTCAATCAATGTAAATATTCTTCCTGTATTTTATAAAACATTGACAGATGTTTTCACTCACTGGCCTTCATTAGGTCTCTCTAGAAACATCATTTTCAACATAAGCTTGATAAGACCACCCCGAGCCGAACTACCGGCATGAAGGTGACTCCAATGGTTTGACATACAAGACACATACAAATACACAAGTTAGTGGGGTGGCAACAAAATAATTTTTTTTTTAATTTTTTAGAAACAGATGAACATTTTTATCTAAAGCTTTTATAACCCAAAACATTGGTTTTCTTTATCTGGTCTCTTGGAAAGTCTATGGTGGGGAGCTGAGGACAGGAGAAAGGTTGGTACACATTTAGTTTAACTAAAGGGCTGAGTACAGAGTCCTCACATTATTAAACAATCAATGTATTTTATTTTAAAGATGAATTAATTTATTCATTATTAAATCAATTCATTTTAAAAAGGCAATTGCAGAGTCATCAGATTTTAGGTGCACTGAGTGTACCAATACCCCAAGCCCTTTCTAGAGGAGCTATAAAAGGACTCATGGTATGTCACTGCTCATTTAGTCAGTTCCCCAGTTGAAGATTTATCAGGGACCCTTTCCCTCCAAGCACTAGCTCAACATCTGCCTAAAGATCTTCAGTGACTGAGGATCTGATTTCTTTAGTGGAGAGTGGCCCACACCCAACCAGTCAACCTAACTGTGAACCACTCGAGGACCAATCACTGCAGCTTGAGTTAAAGATAGTGAAATGGTAAGCCACATGCGTAAGGCCCAACCTGCCCCGTGTATCACTGCTCCTCTGGCGCCGGCACAGGCTGAACCCAGGCAGTGCTCAATGAGATGTCCAGCTCTAGTTCCAATAAAAGATCTGGAACATCTTATCGTCCATTGTATCACTCATCCATTACTTCTATCTACTTTGGAGGCCATGCTTCAGGCACCATCAGTTAGGGCTGATGAACAGTAGGGCTGTCCTGGATTAGGAACACATTTCTTATCTATGATACAAGATACGAACAACCATGGCTGCCTTCCTGGTGGGATGCCAGGACTACAGAACCCGGTGCTAGGATTTGAAAAGGAAGAAAAATAATTTCTGAGCAATCTGTACACTCACCTGCATGGAAACAGTGAGAGAGGTTCCCTGGAAATGCTTCTCCACCACTGTCCCGACTCTCTGGGTCGCCTGAAACAAGTCAGCCACTTCATCAGGACGCAGGTCTCGGAAGCGCTCGACTGGTCGCAGTGGACACACGAGGACATCTGGAGCGAGATCTGTTAAGGCACATTCTGCTTGCTTTGGGTAGTATTCTTACCGAGCAGTTCACACCCATGCTACTGAATCCCCATGGCCCAGGGCCTGAACTGTCCAAGACTAAGGAATGAAGACACCATGTTTACCAGCCACTGAATGCTAAGGAGTTCAAAGAGAGCTTACAAACATGGGTAATTATACTTTAGAGGAGAAGCTGTGGTGAGCAGAAGAATTTGTTTTAAGAGAAAGGAGCATTAGTGTGCAGAGATTCAAGTGCTTGCTGAGATAATTATGCCAGGAGGCAAGATCTATTCTGACCCATTCTTTCCAGACCCCTATTTTAAAGCTCTGTCCTCTCCAGTAGTCCAAGGCACTGGGTTGAAGTGGCTGGAATATCATTCAATTTCTCCAGGTAGAACACTGTGATTGAAATTTTCATTTAAATATCTCTTTAGAGAAATAAGAGACATATATAATAAATATGCAATAGGAGATATTTATTTAATTTCTAAAAGGAGTGTCGACATCCTGAAAACGCACCATGAACTTCATCTGTCACTGAGACGTGTGCCATGTGGTGAAGCAATTTATGACAAGGGTCCTTCAGACTGATTATTCAGAACTCAAGAGGCCATTTGGAGGTAAATTACTAAAGGAAAGGGCTGTCTGCTTATGCAAACAAAACCATCTTAATACATTCTATGAGTTAGACAAGGCAACATATTTACATTATTGGTCTGAGCAAACAGGAAAGTCTAGAGAAAAAGAATATAAATTTGATCACTTACTGGTTACAGATTAATATTCACCGTGACACCATGGGTACCATTTTAGTTCCTTCTTGTATTTGAAAGCATATATGTGTGTGTGGACACACGTTTGCGCACGTGTACCTGAATATGTATATATACATAGACACGCAGTATTTCTTAATATTGGTTTAGTTTTCAGATACTAGCAAAAGAAAAGGGCACTCTCGTCCTTTTTTTCTGTTTTCTTTCTTTTTTCCTCTTTTTCTTACTGTTTTTAGGCAACGTGCACTGCCTAGAGCTAAGCAGGGGAGGGGCATAATGAAACCAGAATTCTGCCATCGCTAGTCTCGCCAGAATATCAAGCGCTTTAGCCCATCACACTGCTGGTGGAACTCAGGGCCCAAGGGGAAACACACTGAGCTCAGCTGGGCAGGCCTAATTTCCATAAGAGAGGTGGAAAAAGGAAGGGGGAAACTGATTAATTTTGCTCATAATCAGAAAATTCATGTCAACAGTAAACCAGGAAAAGGGGCATTTGTTTAATGTGAGTTCATTTTTCAGGAGAGGAGAAGGGAGGCCTTCACCCACAGGGCATCTGATACTTAAAAAGATAATTATCCTTCTTTGGCAGGGCTGCCTTATTATCATGGGTCAATGAACCGTTTAGAAATGAAGAATTTCCTTTCATTTCCTTTTAGCAGATTGCCAGCCTCCACTCCCACTGAGTTGCTTTTTTCTTTGTGAAAAGGGACCTTTTCCTATCTTCCTCCTCCCTATTTTAATTTACACCTTCCCTTAGGCCCTGACTTCACCAAACCACAGAAGATGACAGCCACCAAGCTTCCAATAATCTCTGTGACTGCTGAGGGATGCCATGTCCACACACAGCAGCTACGTGGAAAAGGAAAGACAATTGACCTAAACCATTGCTTACTGTGGAATGAATCCAACTACCTTCACATCTAAAGTAAAGTTAGTATGAGAAATGACATCCCTACATATTTTTCTCAGTTCCATAAAGTCTTATGATTTGTCAGTTTCGCTTGTCTGACGCTAAGGCCTGGCTTGATACAATGTTTAACAAGTCAATATCTGAGGGGATGCTCCTTCCCTTAGCTTCTTCCCTTTATTTGCAGTCATGTGTCCATTAAACATTTTCTCAGGAACCCTCCCACCCACCCACCCTCCCCCACACAGCTTTGGTATCTACTTTATTTCTGTTATATGTTAATCGGAAATCATAAGATAAAAATTTTTTTTAATTAAAGTGTTTAGAGAATTAAAATGGTCGAATTCTTCAGATTCCTAACACACCCAACCACAGGATTCTATGATAGACAGGTACATTCATTACCTTTATTGATCATTAATAAGAGCAATACATCATGTCACAAAAAAGTTAAGCAGGCATAGCACATTCTCATTTAGGTGAATAATTCTCACCAGCCTATTTGCAAAACATTGTGCTGACATACAGATTCCCTGCAATCCAACTCTTTGCTAAGAAGTCATCTTATTTACATATAACACACACATAGTTTTATATGCAACTGATAATGAGGAGAAATAAGAATTTAAAGGGTGCTTCCTTGGCATGTGTATGTGTGGGTGGCCATTGTGTTTGTTCAGTTGGTACCCAGAGGATGGCTAACCAGGCAGCTTATCCTGGAAGTGGTCACACGGGTGAGCACCGCAGAACTCCACAGGGACTCACACAGGTCTAGAGTCACGCAGGGTGGGACTCTGGAGCTCTTGGGCACCCTGTGAGTAGATGAGCCGGCCAGCAACAGACACAGACACACTTTCCAACAACCTCCCTGGGGCATTCTTGGACTTAAATGGGCCTCAGGAGGCCAGGATCAACCCTCTTTCCTTGATTCCTTTAAAACCAGAACAGAAAAGAACGCCTGCCTTTACTTCCCCATAGGCTATACCTTCAGTGCTGCCCACTTCCTCTGTACCTCCTCTTCCCCGTCCGCCTTGCTTACACACCTGTCACATTAGCTGCTCTTCTTGTTCATGAAATACAGTAAAGCTCCTTCCTGTAACAGATTTGGGCCCTGTGCCTGGCCTTTGTCTCTGCTGACAGGTCAATTCCCCATGATTTTCACATGCTTCTTTCTTGGCACTCAAATCTCCATTCAGAGGACATCCCCTCCAAGGAGTGTTTATGACCACCAGTTAAAATTGCTACCTGGTCACTCCTCTGAAATCACTGAATTCTAATCTTTTCTGTAGCCCTTACCACCAGCTGCTAGTTTTCTCTGGTAGTTACACCCTCCCGTAGGAGAATGTAAGTTTCACAAGAGCAAAGACTCTGTCTTGTTTATTGCTGTTTCACCACTGTCTAGACGAACAGAGACAGTAAGAACTGCTAGAATGAGTGAATAAATGGTAAACCCATATCTGTCCCCTCTGAACACTAAGACACTGACAAAATGGAAATGACATTGATTTAATTTTCAGTCATTTACACAAGATCAACCTAACCTACAGGAATTTATTATTTTTTCTAAATGAAAGAAGTTTATTGGCAAAACTTAGCATAGTTAGAACTACTGTTGAGTGTGAGCTCAAGAACTGTCAATGTATTATTTTTTTTAAGGTTTTTGCAATAGGGCATATGCACTTAACGGGGAGGAAAGAGACAGTGAGAGGAAGAGTGAAAAATCATCCCCCCCCACACACACCCAAGGAGTGAAGGCCATACCACAATCCCTTCTCCTCCATTCTCCTCCTGGGATTTTGGGTACACATGCACAGGTGCCTGGTGTGATGTTCAAGCCACCAAGTCCAGAACTTGAACTGTGCTTGGCCATGTGGGAATCCAGGGCCTTAATCACCATGCCGCTGACTGGCCATGTAAACGTGTTTTTACTGTATACTAATTCTTATATTCTCAGAGGAAATACAATTATGAAGATAAAATCCTTTCCTAAAATCTCTTATTGTTAAAAAGAAGTGTTTTCTAGATTGAATCTCAGATGAACTATACGTGTACAGAGATTGTTTTATATCCTGATGAAGAAGTATACATTTATTCATTAAGTGAACCTTGAGTAACAGTAAAATGTGGGTGCTATTATCTCTGGGAATAATGGAAAAAAAGAAGTCAGGAGACAGTGTTGAAACAGATCATTTTAGTACAATGGGTGGTACAGAGAGCAACACAGTGGGGTACCAAGAGGCAGAGGAGCACCCAACATAGGAGATGCCTGGGGCACCTTAGCAAGGACGTTTCCAAGGTAACCACAGCCACATGAGAGGGATGAATCCTCTTGTGGCCATCTGAAAATACAAACAGGTTCATGAAGGACTTAAAGCAAGGATAGCAAACCTTTTCTGTAAAGGAGCAGATGGTCAATATTTTAGGATTTACAGGTCATAGGCCTAAGCAGTCACAGACAATACAAAAACTAAGAGGTGTCGTGATTATCCAGAAAACCTTATTTTACAGAAAGAAGAGATGCGCTGGATTTTGCTCATGGGCCTCACAGTGCCCGTCTCAGATTTAGAGGGTTTCCATTAGGAGTAATTAAAGGACTAGCAGGTGGCATGATGGTTAAGGTGCTGGATCCCACATGGCTGACTCTGTACTCTGAGTCCCGGACTCCATGGCTTGAAAAATCACTACAGGTACATGTGTGTTCCTGCCCAAAATCCCAAAGGGAGAATGAAGAAAAAGGGATTTTGGCATGGCCAGCCCCTCCCCCCCCCAGGGGGGGTAGGTGATTTCTCACTTTCTTTCCCTCCCTCTGTCTCTGGTAAGTGCATGAGTTCTATGGCAAAACTCTGAAATAAATAAATAATAATAACAACAATAATAAGTAACTAAGGGAAATTGGAACTATTAAGTTGTCGGGAAAATCCTGACACATTTTTGCATAGAAAAATATGTCATGAATTTCCCAACAACCCAATATGTGAGGCCCTATTCCTTTTTTCCTGAGTTAGGTACTATCTTAAAGCAGCGTTCTGGACAAAGAACACTGTTATCTCTTAATTTTTCACTTTTTAAGAAAAAATATCTGAGCCAAGTAGAGGGTTGCAATGGTCCTGTGTAGCACTTAGGATATTTGTAAGGATTAATCACAACAACCAGAAAACACACAGACGGCACCATAAACCTGAAACGTGAGTATTTCTTTCTGCCATTTCTAATTGGAAAAACAAAGCATATGATCTGCTTTGTAACAATACCAAAATAGTGACAGTGAACTATTCACAAATGTATCTGTGAATGTAATAGTATTTCT